TTTTGACTTCTGCTCCTGTCCTCTGGAGTATTGGCTATCCCTCCCAATTTGGTGTCATCTGCCAACTTGAAGATCATGCCTTCTAACCCTTCATCTAAGATGTTGAACCGGGCCCAGGACAGAACCTTGCTGATGGCACTCCGCTCATCACTTCTTTCCAGGATGAATCGGAAGAATTGTAAAAAATTCCCCAGGTTTGTGCAGGAAGCTACAGAACTTAAAGTGGTGTTGAAGGCTTTCACGGCCGGAATCATTGGGGTGTTATATGGTCTCCGGGCTGTATGACTGTGTTCTAGCAGCATTTTCTCCTCACCTTTCACCTGTGTCTGTGGCTGGCATCTTCAGAGGATCATTTTCTCCTGGTGTTTCACTTGCATCTGTGGCTGGCATCTTCATAAGATCTTCACATCCTCTGAAAACGCTAGCCACAGATACAGGTGTAACAAAAGAAAATGCTACTAGAACATGGGCATACAGCCCTGAAACAACACAACATCCCAACTTATAGTAGGTTGGAGCAGGCATTGGTTGCTATAAATGGAAGTGGATATATCAACCTATGGACTGACCGGAAAGAAACACATATAAGCTTAAAGTTAACCTACACTTGTGTACATAATGCAAGTCTAACCACCTCTTCAAACGGGGCTTGGGAAGTGTCCTAGGATGCTTTATTTATTATAAAATTATTTATGATATTTATATGCCACCCTTCTCACACCGAAGGAGACACAGAGTAGCTTACAAGTAATATGCAAGACAATAAATAAAATAAATACAATATCTTCCTGGACCCCTCTTTTTACTCTGGTCCCAGACTAACAGTTGGTGTTGGTCTGGGCTCCCAACTGATAACACTGAAGACAAGATGGCACTGTCTTCCTGGCCCCTCTCTTTACTCTGGTCCCAGAGCAGCAGTAGTGTTGCAGGGAGGGGTTCCCAACTAATGACACTGAAGACAAGATGGCACTGTCTTCTCTGCCCCTCTCTTCCCCACCAGTCCAGCAACGTATGGGCATGCTGCCCATCCCATGACATTGGTGGACTTCTAGCAGACACCCCATCCACAAATGGAGTGGAAGCATCATACAATGCTTCCCTCCCAACACAGGAGCCTACCAATGGAACCAGCTGTTGTAGTTCAGCCTGTGACTGTGTCTGATGTCAATGGGGATGATAGTTTTCCTGGGCTTGTGTCAAATGTCATTGGGGATTAGGGTTTTTCTGGGCCTGAGTCAATCCCAGGCCTTTCTGAGAGGCCCAAGGTTTCTCATGAATGGAGTGCTTCTCCTGTAGGTTCCCAAGGTCAAATTCCTGGAAGAGGTTCATAGCAGTCTTCATCTGAGAATGTGTCTTCTGGGGATGATTTGTCAGGTGCAGAATTTAATGAGTTTGAAGATAGAAAGCAAGACTTTTGTAAACTAAGACAAAGTTCCCAAGAGCACTGAAAGTTAGCCCGTCTGCTAGAAAAGAGAGATAAGAAATTCATATCTGGTAATAAAGGCAATATAAATGCTTTTCTTTCATTTTATTGGACTGGAAAAGCTTTAAATGAAACGGGGAAAGGATTTTAGCTCAGTCTCATCAATGTTGGATTTTCATGATGGTCTTGTTCCCAGGTGGATTTCTAGTTTCATGTTTCAAGTTTTGCCAGGTTCCTGTTCTGGGTATTGGACCTTCATGTTGTCTTGTCTTTTGGTGTTTGCATATTTCATGGACAATTTGCACTCTTTGAAAAATACTGTTTTGGATAATACTGTCTCTATCATTTTTATTGTTTTGCTTACATATATCCTTCAATAAACTGCTTGCTGATTTTACTACACCAGTGTGGAGTTTAAGGACAGAGGTGTTCCTGCTCTGGGATACAACACCAGCGTGGATCCTTGCCACAAGGGCAATGCTTCCCACATGTGATGGGGGAAGTGTCGCTGTGGGGCAGCAGCAGGCAGGACAACAGATTCACCCTGCCGACTCTCTATAATTTTAGTGAAGCTGGGCACTTCACTTGGCCTTTGTGATAAGATTGTTAGTGTGTACAGATTAATAATAAAAGCTGAACACCCCTTACCCAGAATTTTCCACTTCATCACATGGCCCTCCCATGTTCTCCTTGCCTCTTTTTAGGATGCATCCAGCACAGTTTGGAGACAGAGCCTGCTAGATTCCATCAAACAGCATAGAATTAATTCTGGCGGGCTCCTTCCCTGAACTATGCTGAATGCATCCTAAAAAGAGGCAAGGAGAACATGGGAGGCTTCCTGTATTCTCATTACTAGCAATGGGGCAAATGCAGGGGGAAGCTGGGCAGTGACGCTTTCCCCCATGTGATTGGGAAGACGGTGATGTAGGCACTGCTGGGTGTGTGGCGATAGATTCCACTGCTGCCCACTGAATTTGCCACACTGCCTGGTGAATCCCCCTGTTGTTGCCCACATTAGGCAGCTTCAAAGTATTCCTTCACAAATTCTTCTGTTAGTAGGTTCTTGTAGGTTTTTTCAGGCTATAGGGCCATGTTCTAGAGGCATTTCTCCTGATGTTTCGCCTGCATCTATGGCAAGCATCCTCAGAGGTAGTGAGGTCTGTTGGAAATAGGAAAATGGGTTTATATATCTGTGGAATGACTGGGGTGGGGCAAAGAACTCTCTGCTGAAGCTAGGTGTGAATGTTTCAGCTGACCACCTTCATTAGCATTTGAAGGCCTGACTGAGCCTGGGAAAATGTTCTGTTGAGAGGTGTTAAGATGTGCCTGGTTGTTTCCTCTCTGCTGTTTTGTTGTTGTGATTTTAGAGTTTTTTAATACTGGTAGCC